CTAGAAATTTAAACATTTTTGCCAAAATTTCATTTAGTCACGTTTAAAGACTTTAGTGTCAATGTCGATATGATTGATGACGTGCATCGGAAAATGCTTTGCGATTACAATATGACGTTTTTTTCAGATAAAAAACATAATTTGTTCATAATATGGCAACATAGGTAGTAGATTAAATTTACAAGAAAGAAAACCCAGAAAAGATCCAGAGTGGTTCTCAAAATTTAAGTAAAAAATCTTTATTTTTTCAATGGAAAATAACTCGGTTATTTTGGACTTATTTGAAAAAGGGTACAGAGAAAATATATTTCTTTTCTCAAGATCTACTAGCCTTGAAAATATTTGGACTTACCCTGTATATTATTGAATTTAAAATATTAGAAATTTGTTCATTAATAACAAAAAGAAATAAATAATTATAATCAAGGCTTAGACGAATCGATTTCTTCAATTATAAACCGAATTTCAGCTTTAATTACACTGGATTCATGATTTAACCGATGCTTATTCAAAATCATGTTTGTAGAAAATGAAATTGTAGCTCTTGTAGTACTTCAACGACCATCTAAACTCATAATTTCTGAAAATCTAGTAATTTTCAGAAAAAAATACTCCGCGTGAGTAGCGCGAACAACCCTGTATATTTTAAATGCTATTGTACTTCGACCATAATAACTTCATGAATACATTTTTGAGAAATTTTGTGTTACATATTTTATTTTCCAAAAGCCCTTCTTGTAATTTAGTTTCTCTGACAAACAAATGTTTGCAGCAGCCAAAACGTATCAACGATGGAAATGAAGGCAACAACCAAAGCTGAGGATTAATGTGATCCTCTAAAGCCTAACTTTTGCAACTAAGCCACCAGATCACTGGAAATCTAAGTCAAACTTTGTTCAGATTAAAGGAATTACAAAATTGTAATTCCTAATCTTTTTTACGTGCTGTTCTCAATGCGACATTCATTGAAGACTTATTTAAGACTCATCAGTAAAATGTTAAAAACATAGTATGTTAAAAAAATAAATAGTGCCATAGTGGTATTTAAAATGAAATCTATTATTACTTTAGTCCGTCAAAAAAGTTGTCAAAAGTTAATATTTGGTTTAGACTACCTTACAAGTTTCGAAACATTTTCATTTTATACTATTTTTCAAGAAAAAAACAGTGTGTGCACTATGTGCGCATATTTGAAGTAAAATAGAGAAGAGTTAATATAATACCGTATACTATTATAGCTTTATAATTTTACGATATCTTTTTAATTTTTATATGTAGTGGAATACCACCCAAAATACACACTTTTATGCAAATGCCTAATAACGCGCCTTTAAATTTATATAAGAGAAGAAATTTTGAACATGGTCAGACATTTGTATGTTATTTGTGGTCGAGACACAGAAATTAAATTGTTTGGTTTACCGATTTTATCCCAATCATTAAGGAAACGTTTAGGTCACTATCAAAAAGATGAAAGGAGTTATTTCGTACAAAAGTAAATAATTATTCAGAAATTGTTACTTCTTACAAAAAACATATGGCTTAGATCATTTTTTTTTCCAGTAAAAGATTAATATCCTTCTTCAGGTTAAGATGTAGACATTGTCTAATTCCCTCCCATTTACATCGTATAGGTGTAATAAAAAGGTGTACTAAAACTTTATGTTACGCAGTTTTATTTTGCGTTGGTAAAGAATTTGGAACGTTAAACGACATTTTTTTGAATGCAGTAAGTTTCCTGCTTTAATAGATAGACTATATCAATCACTTACCACCATCAACCATATATAAGCCATATTATATCTATCACCATATATCTTCACCCGGACGGATAGCCCTGGCAGCAGTGGCCATTAAACCAATATACTACTAGACTACATCTATATCTCTGACTACTACTAACCAACAATTTGTGTGGTTTGTGCTCTCGTTTTTGTTTAAATTAATGTATTGTTCATTATTCATTATTTATAGTGATTTACAGTAATTTTATTAAATTATACGAATATTCTCGTTGATTATTCGTTTGAAATAAATATAAGAGTATCCTTCAATAAAAATGCGAGTTACTAACTCTAATATTTCTATTTTTGAGCTGGCAAGTGAGCTAGATGCTTTACCTAGACCGTCATTCTGAAGCTACAAACCTATCGATGATAATATGCATGAATTTCCACACCTCCACCAGACTCCGCACACCACCAGAGGATATTGGTACATAATTTGGTACATAGGTACAATATCATATATACCAACAGAAAGGCTTGAAGTTTATGATGGTATTGCAACAAAAGAAGCCCGAAAGAACCAACTGATACGCTGGCAGCAAAAATGGGACAACGGAAAATACGGACGCTGGACGCACAAGCTTATCCCAGACATAGAGACGTGGATGAACTCGAAGGGTAAAGTGGACTACTTTTTGACTCAAGCACTTTCAGGACACGGGTGTTTTAGACAGTATCTCTTTCAACGAAAAAGGCCCAATACTGATCTTTGCAAATACTGCGGCGCAGTGGATGACGTTGAACATACCCTGTATGACTGTTCCCGGTGAAGTCAACAAAGATATCGATTCCAAATACTTACAGGACTTATATTTAATAGCTATAAGATGATGGAAAGTTTAACTAAGAGCATAGAATCATGGGAAAGTGCATATAGAACGGTCAGAGACATAATTGAGACTAAAGAAAAAGAACATCTTTAGACAGCCTAATGCACTGAAGAAATGCGGGAGCGGTTACCGGTGCATTGAAGGCAAAACGAGGGGAGGAGGGTTTTTTTAGTCGGTACGAATCCGACACTACCAAATATCATACACGACTGGTATTGAAGGTGTCTTATGTAAGATTTTTTTCCCACCTCAAAAAAAAAGGTACAATATCAAGTTTATTATTGTGATTTACTTAGCCGCGTATGGCACAGATCGTTACCCAGTGTTGCAACAAGCTTATTTTACATCGGGGTAGATTATCAAGAGATAGCGGGTTAAATTGTTTTGCAAAGGGGTAGGTCTACCTCGTATAGGATAACAACACTGCCGTTACCATTTTTCTTCACGCTAGCACTTGTCGCGGCCGTCATTCGCGTGTGTCACGGTCTTGAATTTTTACTCCTAAGGCGCGTAAAAGTTTCACTTCAAAAATACGAACAAATGATTGGCGAGTCTGGTCTCTGGATACTTTCCACTTTTTGTCATATAAATATTCATTTTTAACAAGTTATTATGCCAGTTTTTAATTAATGTGTTGTAGGAGTCATTTTGACAAAAAATCCATTGGTTGTCACTTGAAAGATTACCGGAACGCCTGTTTTTTATATGGTACTTAACTCACAAATTTGCATATTATATATGAAACAATATTTGCATATTATATATGAACTAAAAATACTTCTATATTGATTATATTTTGGCAGTCGCGATTACTGATTTTGCAAAATTTTGTATTGACGTCGATTAAAACGTTATGATAAGAGACAAATAGATTTGACATCAGAATTTCTGGAAGTCACTTTAATAATACGACTGAATTTAATTTTAATAATTTTATTTCGGATCCAGGATTAAAACTTTGCAATAATCCCCTGACCGAGTTCGAACGTAAGCTAATTTAAATTTTCTTATCGGGAAGTAATACTTCAGTTTTATTAAAACATAAATTCAAATTGGTTGTAAGATGTAAAAACTGGAGACAGTCTATAGCTTTAATTCCTTCCTGGACTTTAAAAAGACGGGACTTTTTTTGTCAGAAGAAATTGCATTGCATTATACTTTAACTCCTGTCTAAAGCAAAATTGAGGATAGATTTTTTTAATAATATAGTAGTTAAACAAATTTATATAGTCAAAAGAATTAACACATAGTGTAACTAAAAGTTAAACAGTATACTAAGGGCTGGCAAAGGTTAGTTTCGGGTCGAGATTTCCGTATGTAAGAAGAGTACAATGTGTTTATAATGTACTGAACAAAGACAGAACAGTAAACATGTTGCCAAACGTGTGAAATAAAATGAGAAACTGTGGACATTGCTAAGAGACGCGGAGGGGTATATAGTAGATTTGTCGCGGTCGACCGGTCGGTCGGGTCGACCCAATCAGTACCAACTGTCAGTACTTCAAATTCTAAGGAAAGGTGTATATCAAGCGTTCAGCTTCACGATTTAATTACGTCTCGTGATACTTTATTTGTTTATTTATTAACGAGTTGATGTAATTTTCCCTATAGCTTGAAAATTTTTAAGCGCATGTTAGAAACACTTGCATTTTTGGTAAAAATAAGTGAAATTGAGTTGGTGTTCGACAGTGGTCGCGCTATTAGAACTCTGAAATCAAAAATCGATATCTCGAAATCCATTAGAAATAATTGATTGTAGTTTTTTTCAATAACTTTCTTAATGTTTCTGCTATATTTTCTTCGCAGACAGTACCTATGTGAAAATATTTATAAATAAAACAGTTACACGATCGGTGAAAATTGCTATGCACTAAATGTAAATGGAATTGTTCTTATTTAAACATCTTGTAAAAGATCCAATCTTCAAAAAAAAAAGTTTCAATATCTAAAGTGATTCTTAAGTTATCGCGTCTTATGTGTTATGTTCAGTTTTTAAGTTTTCACGATTACTGACGTTTTCTCGTTTAAAAAAAAATGGATACACTAACGATATCGTTATAATTTCAGATGCTCAGAAACATATCTCATGATTTTATCTAGTTATCTTTTAGAAAAAAAAGTATTTTAAACAAAAGCGGTTTACGTTCGTAATTTTGCTTTACTTGATAGGGAAAGGCGTACCGGAGAAATGTGGCATCGCCGCAATAGCACACCGTCACATTTCTCTCACTCCGACTTAATAAGATCCCTGTGCGATTTATTTCCACACATATAGATACCGACCCAAAAGTATCAGTTGCCAGCACGGTATAATATTGTTGTGTTGAATGTAATTTTTTTTAAATATTTGGAGATAAACGTAGATAGCTATTGATAGACTTACCTCAAAACTTATTAGTCCACTATGATCTTGGTCTAATGTGTTAAATACGTAATGAGCATATTGGCTAGTGTTTGCTGAAACAAATAAAAAATATTACAAATTTTCGAAAAATCAAAACAAAGATATTGATACTTAATATTTGTGAAAGTGAATAATTTCTGAGAGAGAAAAAAAAACGGCAAAATTATAAAAAGGAAGGATCTTGTTTTTCTGTACTCTCATCAAATATTTATAAAGGAAAATGTTTTCGAATTTAAAAAGGACCAAAAAACCTAATTCAGTATTTAATATTTGATGAAGTAGCACAGCTTACAAAAATATTTACATTACCTTCCTAAATCGTTCATTCTACAACAGGAATTTGTCATGATTCTGGTAAAAGATGTAGATTTTTATTAAGGGACTAAAACAATAAACCATAGGTACGTCAAAATATCTAAATCTGTTTAATATAGAGTATGTCCCCGGATTGTATTTAAGAAATATTATTATTCAAGAGAAAAAACTTGATTGAAATTTTGAGAAAAATGCATTCTTCATAAAAATTTTTGCTTGTTCGAAAATGCCTAATTTCGTTTATATTTTTTCAAAATTTCCATACCGTTTTAGAGACAATTAAAAAAGACATGAAAACATGGTTGAAGAAAAGTCCTAAAAATCAAAACGCTTTGGTAATATAATTTCGATTTCATTCTTTAATAGATAGCTATTATTAATTTTGGTTAATGCCATATTTTTTGCTGTTGTTAAAGTATCACATTTTGCGACAAATATTGTCACATTTTCCGTAGCATTGAACTAAATACATTTTGTTCTTCTTTAACATTTTAAAATAGCAAAAAATATGATGTTAATTAAAATTCTATCAATAACAACCTATCAAAGTATGAAAACGAAATTATATTACCATAGAAACGCCTTTTGATTTTTAGGACTTCTGAAAATATTAAACCATATTTTCATATTTTTATTTTATTTTGTCTAAAACGGTATGGAAATTTGGAAAAGTATAAACAGGGTCAAACCATTTTAGAGCAAACAAACATTTTTATGAAGAATGAATTTTAGTCAAAATATCAATAATAAAAGTTTTTTCTCTTGTAAAGACAATCCGGGGACATATTGTAAGTTGTAGTCATTTCCGGTGATTTTCCGGTGAAATTGACTGAAAACAATTGAATACGGCAGTCAATGACGTCCCTGATTTACGTCATATACTAACGTACAATCAATACAAATCTAGTTAATTTATCTGAAAAGATAAAAAGTTACAGGGGTGAGCGAGGGGTGTCCCATTTGAGTAAAAAAGTACATGTACTGCCAAAATATAATTTTACTGCCAAGCGACTGCCAACGACTGCGAAGAGGACTGTTTATGTCTGCCATATAATTATACTGCACTGATGCCAACGACTGCCAGAGACTGATAAGAAAATGTATAGGTAATTCCAACAGCGAGACGCCCTTCAGAGGTGAGCCACTTTTCAGAAACATCCGGTTTAGAGAATTAAAAAGAGTACTAATAAATAAATAATTTCACAGTATATATCTAAATAAAATATTTATTTATCTTTGCCGTACGGTCTTTTGACGTGGGTTACGTAATCGTTTTGTACTACTTTTGATAACAGTTACGTTACGTGATTTTTTGATATCACTGATTCAATCACAGCTTCTGATACCCCCCTTCACTATGTTTTGACTAGACTAGCAGAATTTTGTTGAGAACACTTAAGGTGATATATTCTATCCTGCGCATTACCCTCTCCACTGAAGTTTATTAAACTTTTAGAACCGGCATGGTTTGATTGGAGTGTCCAATTATTACTGTTTTAAAATCAATTATGCACAGCTATAACCGCATTAAAGCAGTCGGAATTTTCCGTGCCAACGATTTTATTTACCGGAAATTCGGTTATCGTTAAAATGCAGACTTTCCTTCGTGGTTTTAGCGGAGCGGTTGGGCTTCATTTACCGCCCACAATTCCATTTCAATTAAAATTTTATCACTATATTTCAATTTTCACTAAAATAATAAAAAACATCGATAAAATATTCAAATATTTATATTCCAGTCGAATAAAATATACATATAAACCGTGAAAATAATATGATTATTTTAAATTTACTATTAATTGCTATAGATACTAACAATCCTTATTGCTTTAAAAATATAACTCCATAAAAGAAAAAAATACTTGAATTACACCGAATAATACAAAATAAGTGATAAATTTGAAATCTAGTATACATACACTATAATCAGGTAAGATTTGATGAAGTGACGGAACGATGAAGAACACACGGATGTATATGCGTATCTCAACTTAAGATTTTTGAGATTTGTCAAACTCTTGTCGAATTATGTCAAGTAACCTGCGTTTTGTAACTTTTGTATTTTGGTTTGTGTATTACGTGTGATTTGTGTTTTTGAAGTTAAGTGGAGGAAAAATCGAAGGAAAATGAAGTGTAGAGCCAGAGCACAGATTATATTCGGGGCCGAGAGTTAGCTACGAATAAAGTTTGTACACCATCTCGTATATGGTACTAAAAACTGGAGCTGTAAAAAGAAAGACATCACACGATGGTTAAATAATAATAGATTTTACTACTGTAGAGAAATAAGGTCCAAAGATCATGTCAAAAGATCATGTTACTGGTTTAAAAATATTAAGATTAAAGTTAATTAACTAACTTTTAAGGTAGAAAATCCAGTGTTTGTAAATTATTGAAATTATTATTAATAAACTATTTTGTTTTATTTATGTTGTGTTTTCTTTATTCTTGTGCAATATTAAAACCTTTATATTTGTACATAAGGTAATGTTGATAAATATAATAATAAATGAAGGAAATTTCTTTTTCTGATTCAGGAAGAAATATCTTTTTAATGGTGCTATTTTTTTTTGATTCGTTATTTACTAATTTTTTTATTAATGAGTCTTAAAATTATCTTACTGTACCAGTAAAAACTAAAGTTACAATTCATTATTACAATTCAAAGTTACATATATGTATACAATAAATTATCTTATAGTACCAGTAAAATATATAAAGTGACAATCATATACCCAAAAGTTATGAAAACCCGTGAATACAATTAACCAATTAAAGTGTGTTAAAATATAAGAAATGCCAACATTTTTCTTACATAATAATCATCTTTACTTAACGTCGCCAGACGCAATTTTAGAGCCTACCTACTCGGCCCTTGGAGAAATAAAAAGAGACCTTTCGCAAGGAAATTCATTAAAGAAGTTATTTAAAAAGATTCTATATAAAAAAGTTAAAAGTAAATATAAGTGACTTTTAAGGGTTTTTGTATTAATCTCTCGGGAATAACCGAATAATTTTATAATAAAACTCTTTAAAATCTAAATTCCGAACCTTTGCATTACTTTGCATTGATTTACCTGTTTACGGTTAAATGACTTAAAAACGCGATTAAATATTACCGATAAACCGTCATTAAATTTTATTCGAATTTAAATGACTTTATGGAACTTTTATTACGATTGCAATAGGTTTGTTATATTATTTATTGTATAATGCTATTAAAATTAATTAAATTGCACATGTTATAATTTTTAATAGCAGCATTGCCACCAATAAAGGTGGCTCTGTAGCAGTTAATTGGTAAAATTCAAACCAGTTTATAACAGATTTTTCTTTAAAATGTAGGATTATTAACGGTAACAAATCAGAGCATAACTTTAAGTATCGAATGTCGATGTCCTTACCAATTCGCACTAAAAAAGGTTCTAAAAAGATGTTCGACGAGGTCTGCTGGTAAAAAATGTAAGCTTTTAAGTATCACAACACAATTCATTTAAACCAAAAATTCGTAATACAAAACTAAAGTGTCAAAACGAATCATAATGTCAGAAAATAAATAAATAAATGTGACTACTTGGCATTTTTACAGCAGATCTACCACCTGAATCTCTAGCGGGAAATTTAAATTCCAGTTAGTCAGCCCGGCGCCGAGTGTGTCCATGGTTGGATTAAGTAAGTAAGTAAGGTTGGATTACATAACTAAAAGTTGGTATCGCTTATAGACCTGATTGTAAACAATTCGATTCTGAAAATTACGAAACAAAAATAGTACCAAATCCACTATAACAAGGACAATAATGTAGAGTATTTCCGATGACAAAGAAAGTGACACAGTTTAAAGTCTCATGCTATTTTAATTGGCTTCGGAAAAACTACATACATACATACATACTGCCATTACTCGCTGACGAGTATTCGACAAACATCAGACAATGGTCACGCAAGGCGTTTTCTTTCATGAGCTTTTCTGTGACTGAAAAGCCCAATACGTGATGTTATCTGGCTACCGCACTCCGGACATTCAAAAATCTCATTGCTTTGTTGCTTCTTTACTTTTTGGTTGTCGCTGTTAACTGAGTTTACAATTCTTCTCCATTGAGTTATATTGTGAGCTGCTTCTTCCCACTCATTCTACGTTTATCACTTTAAAGGTTTCGTGGAAAATGTCCTTGTACCTTTTCAGTTGTCCACCCGGCATCCTCTTACCGTATACAAGCTCACCGTAAAGCAGAGATTTTGGTATGCGGTTTTCTTGCATTCTACATACGTGACCAGCCCATCTTAAGCGGGATTTTGTAACAATGACTTCAATACTCTCGCAGTTAGCTTTTTCAAGGACCGATACATTTGAGACATGATAGAACCACCGGATTCGTAAGAGTTGTCTAAGGTGTCTCTGTTGCAACTTGTTTAATGCGTTCATATTGTGTCGGCGGTACGGCACCCAGGTTTCGCTCCCATATAACATGGTGGGGATTATAATTGCTCGGTACACTGCAAGTTTCGTTTTTGTACTTAAATCATGATTGTAGAAAACCCTGTCTTTTAATTTCCAGAATGCTCTTGAGGCGCTGCTAATAAAATAACTGCCGAACTGCCTAAAAAATAACTGCCGAGGAAATTGAATTCCGCCACATATTCCAATAGTTCTAGTTTATACCCCTTACACCCCAGTGCATTCGGAAAAACTATAACTAGTTTAACAGATCTTAAAGTTAAATTTCAAAAATTCGAACAC